TGTAAAGTGAACTGTTTCTTTTTGCTATGAAATTTTGTATTTCTATAAGTTCCAGAGACAAACCAGAAAGAGTTTTGTTGTGTTTTTGTGATTGATTTTCATCAATAAATATGTAGTCTAAATATGTTGCCATTATGTTACCATCTTGTGTTTTTTGATGAAATGTAAGAAAAGGCTTAGAGTCTGCAATTTCAACTGTGTTTGAAAAATTTCTTGTTAATTTCAACAGTTGGTTCCTGGATGGGTCTGATTGAGGTGCAGCTTGACTTATTCTGTTTGCTTCAGGTTTTAGGTTTATGTTGAAGTCTTCTGCTATAATGTTTATTGCATTTTCTTTTATTTAAGAAGTCCAGTTATCAAAAAAGATTATCCTGTTGCTAGTGTTAGAAGGTGCATACACATTTATAATATAAAATAAAAGACCTTTGTAGATAAATGATGCTGTGATAACTCATCCATCTTGGTGTATTTTCATATTTTTAAAGGTAATGTTTCTGTTTCTAGCCAGAATTGCCACTTTGTCTGACCAGAATGAGTCATATATCCATTGGTATTTTAAAAAGTTTCTAGTATTTTCATTGTTGAGATTAGTTTCTTGTATCATTATTAAATCTAAATTGTAGAATTTTAAGAGTGTTAATGTTTTTTGCTGTTTGTCTTGATTATTTAGTCCTTTTACATTCAAAGTTGTGATTTTGAGTTTGAATTTTGGAGGCATGTAAATGTATAAAAATTTTGACCTAATTAGGTCTGTGAGGGCAGCCTCTCATTGCATTGTTTTCTGTATAGGCTAGGTCTTAATTGGCTTTTATCCTGTATGCTCTTTTCTTTTTTATCTTTGTCTTTTTTACAAGATGGCATAGGGGCCTTCTTATTGTCAACTTCCATTATAGGTAATGTTTTATCTGTATTTTTGTTTTCTGCCTGTGGTTCTGAATTAAGGTACAGTGCAGCTAGTTTATCACAAGGTGCTAGTACTGGGTCAGGTGAGAGGTCCTTATCTTTACTTGATGTAGAATTTCTTTTGTTGTTGTCTATTTTCATTAAAGATAACAAAGGTCCATTTTGTTCTTTTTGTATTAAATCATTTTCTTGTAAGCCTGTACTGTTAGTAATGGATATATCATCTTGCAAGTATGAGTTTTCTTCTTTGTTAGCAGAAATAGTTGTATGAAATTCTTGTTATGCTCCAATTCTTTTTTTGAAATCTTGATATTGTTGGCAGAGGGCTACTGATTCCTGGAATAGCTGGCATTCCTTTTTAATATGCCCTTCTTTTTTGCAGAAATAGCATACTTTTGCTGCTGCCTTCTACTCTGTTGTGACCTTGTTATTCCAAATATGAGTAAACCTTGGTATTTTATCTTCTAAAAATGGATCCTCTGTAGTCTCAAAAATTATGACCTACTGATCTGTTAGGTATAATGTACCTTCAATTAACAGAGGTTTGATCAATGCTATTTTACTTATATTTCAAAAGCATCTTTGATTGAGTCTGACAGTTCTTTTTTATTGCCTAGTAGGATGTTTCTGATTTTGACTGACAAGAATGATTTTCTCATATTCATTGGAACATATCCAAAATATGTTTTATTAAAATTTTAACACCTTTTGTTGCATAGATCTTTAGTTTATCTTTATCTGTAAAGATGATTTCTAGATATGATCATGTTCCTTTAGTGAGATGTTGTTTAGCTGCAATGATGTCATTTTTAGCAGTTTCAAATAATGATGATATAATTTCATTAAAAGAGTATTGTAGGCCTTGTATATCTATAATAAGGGCATTTTCATTTTTTGATTTAATTGTGTTCTTAGGAGAAAAGGATGAGTAAGTTGACTGGCCTCTTTTAAGTTTAGAAAAGAGACTTGACCATTTTTTTATTAATGGTTCAGTCATTCTGCTCAAGCTGGGAGTTGTATTCTGTTTTGAAGTAGAGTCCACTTGTTTGTTCATTAACTTATTTTGAGTTGTTGTTTCCATGTTGTCTTTGTTATCTGTATTAGTCTTGCAAACCTTTTTGTCACATAATATTGTTTTGTTGTTATTTTCATTATGTGTACTAATTTTGAGAACCTCTTCATTAAGTGTGTTGTCTTCAATAACCTCTTCATTATGTATTAAGATATTGTTGTCTTGTTCCATGAGTGTTGCTATATTGTTGTCACTTTTTTCTACTAATAAGCTATTTTCTTTTGTCACATATATTCTATTTTTTTTAACTTCTTCCTTATGCATATTTGTTATTTTCTTGAGTTTCTTAGTTTCTTGAGCTACTTGTTCATCCCAGCTAGGGTTGCTTTTGTTGACATGTTCTAGTGAACCTGAGTTATTGCCTTCTATTTTTACTTGTATAGGCTTCATGTTTTTGGTGTTTTTCTTATTAGCATTTGTTGTTATTTTTTATTTTTTAGCCATAGTGCCAAAGCTTTTGTATCGTTAAAAGCTTTAAAAGATTTTTTTCTTAAAACAAGGGCAAGTGTTCTTGCTTTGAAACCTTTTTTAAGTTTGTTTGTCTTGCTGTAGTGGTTTATTTTCCAAATGTGTGTGGTCTAGAGAGAGTGTATGTAGATCTTTTTTTCCTTTGATTAGTATAGAAAGTTAAACAAACAACTAGAATTGAAACACTGATGGCAAAAATCAAAGAGCTTTATAACTTAAATCAAAAAACAATAGCAAAAAAGTATATATGTTTGAACAAATTAAAAAATTGCATTGCACAAATAGATATAGATATAGCAAAATTTTTAGGTGCAAATGATTCAGTTCAAGTATATATTATAAGTATCTTAGTAGACAAGCATAAAGAAGTGCAGAAAAATCTTTATAAAAAAAAGAGTACAACAACAAAAGAAAGATTTCTAGTTAATCAAAAAGAAGAAGTGCATGAAAATATTATGCTAAATATAATGTATGACAGTAAAGAGAAAGCACAAAATATAATAACAAAAATGGAGCTAGAGCTACCAGCAATACAACTAGTAAGTTAAAAAACTTATACAAAATGAAAAAGTATAGTAGCAGAAGAAGATACTAAAGGTAAAGACCAAAAGAAAGGGAAAAAGACAAACAACAAAATAGTAGAGCATAAAGACTACCAAAGCAGGGATATAATAGAGCTAGAAGCATCTGTAACACAACTAATAATTCAAAAGAGTAGTCTTAAACAAAGGTACCTAGATGATAAAATAAAAATAATCAACAAAAAAAAATAATAGAACTAATAAACAAGCAGAGGTGCTTTTTTTTTTTTTTTTTTTTTTTAAAAACACGAATTGGCATACTTTATTAATATAATACAATTATTTAACTATTTACAGTCTAATATGTGTTTAATATTTATATGTTTCATAATTTTTCGTATTCCTTTTTCTTTTTGCAATTTGTTTAGAGCTTGCAAGTTTCTTTTAATTTTTCCTTCAGTAACTTTACCGACTATTGATTCAGGAATAATATTTTCTTCCCATCTAGCTTGGGTATACCATAGCCATATTTCATATATAGCTGAGATATGTATCCATCGTGCTGTCTCAAGTTTAGAGGCATCATGAATATTACTGGCCATAAAGATTTCCTCTAGTGTTTCTGGACACTTCACTTCTTGAGGATTATCAAATACTTTCTCAGATTATTTTGCTAATACTACAATCAATCGCAAAGTGTTTGATCGTTTGTTTTTTCTCAGAACAGTTTAGGCAGTCTCCATCTATATCTTTGTCTATGTGCATTAGCCTGTATTCCAGTGGTAATGCACTATTTTGTAATCTCCAAAAGATGTTCTTTTTTTGATTCAATACTCCCTTTGTATCTAACCATTCAAAAGGCTTTCGTCGGTTTTCTTGTGATGTTATAGGGACTTGAGAGGTTGTTGGTATTATTGAATGTAATCTCAGATATTCTATTGCTTTTTTTACCAAGTACTGATCTCCTGACTGGTTACCTATTTTTATACTGGAGGTATTCCATGGCCAATTATTTGTAGAGTTAATTGTTCCTTCAAGTCTCTTCCATGCTGTTAGGTATGGTCTTCAGATCTCTGGCCAGCCCTTTAGCTTTATCGGATATTTGGTTAAGGCCTTAATTACCATTATTCCTCTTTTATTCTGTAACTGTTTAGATATTAGAACTCTTTCTGTTTTCGCCCATAGGCTATTTTGGGTTAGGAGTTTGATCCATACTGATGTTAATCTGGTGTCCAAAGCATCTTTAAGCACAGGAGCTGCCAGTCCTCCTCTATCATAGTCCAGCTGAAAAGCTGCATATCTAGGAAGCATCTTGGATTTATTTTTAATCCAATTTGATATAAGGTTGTTTATCATGTT